TGCACCCCTAGGTTTATCGCAGCACTATTTACAATAGCTAAGATATGGAAGCAACCTAAGTGTCCATCAGTAGAAGAATGGATAAAGAAGATGTGGTATATATACACAATGGAATACTATTCAGCCTTAAGAAACAAACAAATCCTACCATTTACAACAACATGGATGGAGCTAGAGGGTTATGCTCAGTGGAATAAGTCAGGTAGAGAAAGACAAATACCAAATGATTTCCCTCATTTGTGGAGTATAACAACGAAGCTAAATTGAAGGAACAAAACAGCAGGAGACTCACAGACTCCAAGAAGGGACTAGTGGTTACCAAAGGGAAGGGGATTGGAGAAGGCGGGTGGGGGGGGGGGGAGAAGGGGATTGTGGGGTATCATGGTTGGTGCACATGGTGCTTGTGGGGTCAAGGGGAAGACAGTGTAGCTCAGAGAAGACAAATAGGGACTCTGTGGCATCTAACTACACTGATGGACACTGACTGTAATGGGGTATGGGGGGGGACTCGATAATAAGGGTGAATGTAATAACCACATTGTTTTTCTTGTGAACCTTCAGAAGAGTGTATATCAATGATACTTAACAAAAAATAAATTTAAAAGAAAGGAAAAAAAATGAAAGCACACTGATGTTTACTTTGAACTTTCTTTGCATGGGTTAAGGATAAAAAATACAAAGTCTCTCCTGGTGAATCTTTGATACTTGCCAGCACTTATATTGTAATCTTTCTGCCACAGTAATGACCATACTTCATTATAGTGCAGCCCTTTACAGTTGCAAGGGCCTGTGCGTGGTGTGATTATCTGATCCTAAGAAAGCCTAATTTTGATTACTAATAATAGCTTACATGTATAGAGAATTTGCTACGTTTATAAGAATTATCTAATAGTGGGTGCTTAATAAGTGCTGAATGAATGAAGCTTTCAAAGGTGGATGTGGGCAGAGAAGAAATAGGGAACTGCTTCTTTGACTGAAGAACTCATTTTATGAGGCTAGAAGCTGCCCCTAAAGCAAAGGTGGCCTTGAGTCTCCCTGTTATATTGAGGGGACCCTCAGGGCAGGACCAGGACTCTGAAACTGCCCTGAGTCATTCTGGTGAACAGCCAGAGCTTGGTAAGAGACCCTGGCAGAGCCTTTTCCTGCTCTGGCTTCTGAAAAACTAGAGATAAAAAGAGAGAGTTGGTGCCACCTGGAGGGCAAGGGCAGGCACCTTAGGTGAAGGCTGGAAAATTCTTAGAACCAATCAGTTGTTATAGTTGGGAAGGGGTGGGGGTGGGAGTGGTGAGAAGGTACCATAAAAATAATCTCTTCTTTTTTTTAATTTAAATTTTATTGAGATAACTGTAGATTCACGAGCAGTTGTGAGAAATAATACAGAGAGATATTGCATACCATTTATACAATTTCCCTCAATGGTAACATTTCCAAAACTATAGTATACAGATCAATGGAATAGAGTTCCAGATATAAACCCATACATTATGGCCAACTGATTTTTGACACAGGTGATAACATAATCCAGTGGGGAAAAGAACAGTCTTTTCAACAAGTGGTGCTTTTACAACTGGATATCTACATGCAAAAAAATGAAGTTGGACCCCTACCTCACACCATATACAAAAACTTACTCAAAATGGGCCAAAGATCTAAGTGTAAGAGATACAACTATAAAACTCTTAGAAAAACATATAAGGATAAATCTTCATGACCATGGCTTAAGCAATGATTTCTTATATGTGACACCCAAGACATAAACAACAGAAGAAAAAAATCAGATAAATTGGGCCTTATCAAAATAAAAAAACTTCTGTGCTACACTATAAGCGAAAAGACAACCCACAGAATGGGAGGAAATGTTGGCAAATCGTATACAGTCACACCTCCTCTTATTGCACTTCACTTGTTATGCTTTGCAGATACTGCATCTTTTATAAATTGAAGGTTTGTGGCAACCCTGTGTTGAGCAAGTCTATCGATACCATTCTTCCAACAGCATTTGCTTACTTTGAGTCTTTGTGTCACATTTTGGTAATTATCACAATATTTCAAACTCTTCCACTATTATTATATTTGTTATGGTGATCTATGATCAGTGATTATGACTCACTAAAAGCTCAAATGATGGCTAGCATTTTTAACAATAAAGTGTTTTTTAATTAAGGCATGTACTTTTTTTAGGCATAATGCTGTTGTGCATTTAATAGTCTATAGTACAGTGTAAACATAAGTTTTATATGCACAGGAATGAAAAAATTCCTTTGACTCACTTTGTTGTGATACTTGTTTTGTGCAGTGGTCTGGAACCAAACCCACAGTATCTCTGAGATATGCTTGTATATGGATGTAGTATCCAGAATATATAAAGTACTTTTACAACTCTACAATGAAAAGACAACCCAATTTTAACATGGGCAAAATACTTTAGTAGGTATTTCTTCAAATAAGATATATCAATGCCCAGTAAGAACATGAAAATATGCTCAACATCATCAACCACCAGGGAAATGAAAATGAAGACCACAGTGAGATACCGCTTCACACCCACTAGGATGGCTATAATAAAAAAGACAGTAACAAGTGTTGGTGAGGATGTGGAGAAATTAGAAGCCTTATCCATTGCTGGTGGGAATGTAAAGTGGTGTAGATGCTTTGGAAAACTGCCAGTTTCTCAAAAAGTTAAACATAAGTTATGATATGACCGAGCATTTCTACTCCAAGGTATATACCCAAGAGCAATGAAAACATGTCACACAGTCTTGTATACAAATGTTCATAGCAGCATTATTCACAAGATCTAAAAAGTGGAGACAACCCAAATGTCCATCAACCAGTGAATGTTTCAACAAATGCGGTACATCCATTAACTGGAATATCATTCAGCAATAAAAGCACCAATTTCATGCTATGAAATGAATGGATCTTGAAAACAGTATGCTCACTGAAAGAAGTCAGACATACAAAGGCCACATCTTATATGATCCCATTTATATGCAATATCCAGAATGGGAAAATCCATAGTGACTGAAAGTAGAATAATGGTTTGGGAGGGGAGTGAGGATGGAGAATACTGCTAATGGATATGGGTTTCTTTTGGGGGTGAGGAAATGTTCTAGAATTAGAGGTGATGGTTACACAACTTCTTAAATATATTAAGAACCACTTTTTTCTAAACTGAAATACAGTTGACATATAATATTGAATTGTGCACTTTAGAGGGGTGAATTTTATGGTATGTGGATTATACCTCAATTTTTTTAAAAACTAGAAAAATTGATAAAAAACAATATCACAACCAGGATATTAGTTACAATCTTATTCAGATTTCCCTGGTTTTTCTCTTGTACTTTCAGGATTCTGTGTTTCTACATAGGATTTAGCAATCGTCATGAAGAATGTGTATCACATTTAAAAAATAATAAAAAAAACTACAATTATATATTACACTCCATACTTAACAGCTGGAGTCACAACCCACAATTCTCATTCCCAGAAAAGTACTGTAAAAATTGTCCTTGGTATATTTTTAGTATCATAACATAAAAGGATATTTTAATCTAACACAATTCATCTGTATTTCACCATTTTAACAACAATCCAGATCTCTGGGATTCCTTTCTGGTTTTTAACCATGAGGCATATTTATTTCATCTTAATTATGAATATTTTTATACACTGCTTTTCTCATTTAATGTCTCATGTGTTGTAAGAAGTTTGCATGTTGCCTCCCAAGTCATTAGAAATACTTCATCCGATGGGTATACTGTAATTCCCTTAATCATCCCCTTATCTATGAACATTTAGGATGTTTCCAATAATCCTGCTGCAAACTGCTGCAGTGGGCAACTTTATTTTCTTCTTTTCGATGATATCCTCCGGATAAGGGGTGGGATTACTGGTTAAAGATTTTGAACTTCTTTCTGGCTCTTGACAATTTCACTTTGGCTCAAGATCTGCTCTCCGCCTCCCCTGCTTCCCTTTGGTCCCCAGCCTCAGCCTCAGCATAGCCTGACCCTAAAGGCAGGTCCCTCCCTCCCAACCCCTCCTTCCGCTTTACTGTCATTCCCTCACCTCTGCCCCAGCCGCCCACCACTTCTCTCCCCAATCCTCACTCACCAGGGCTCCTTCTCCTCCAGGCTTTGGGCTCTGCCGCCTCCCCAGGCAAGCTGGTGCCACGTCTCAGCGCTCCACCATCCCGTTTGCCGCAGCCAATGCAGTGTGGCACGCTGGCACGCGCTGTCCTTACTTTGGCCTCAGGATGTCCCGCACAGGTCCCCTGGAAGACCTGGGTGATGTTTCATTTTCTCCTTCCCTTTCCTTTCTGTCCCCAGTGCTAGGCGACGCACCCGGGAAGCGCTATTTAAAAAGTACATTTAAGTTTTTGTGCTCCTGTTTACTTTAGTTAGATCTCTGAAAGCTAATAAAATATACAGCAGTTTACACCAGGAGCAGATGTTATGGCGGTGAGCAGATACGAATTATAAGAGCAAACCCATGCAGTAATGCATGCAACAAGAATTTACTGAGCACCTACTATATGCCAACTTTACAGCAGTGAATAAGTCAATAAAAGATAAAATTACAGTGTGTTAGGTGGCGATTCGAGCTCGGGAGAAAAATCAGGTGGGTGGGGGAAAGGGACTGAAAGTGAGCAGTGTCTAGCGAGGCGTCCCTCAGAAGGTGGCAATGGCAGAACAGCTCATGTTAATTGGGTGTCAACCGCGGGCCGGGATGCTAGGGGTCTCTCCTCCGAAAGCCCGTTTAAACACACACGAAGCAGGGACGCATGGACTGATTTAAAGAACTACTGCACTCAATGTACAGATAAGGAGGGTGTAAGGGGCAGAGCGGGGCTGCCCGACAGTCTCAGTCTAAAGCCCCCACCCTCTCCTCAGTCCCCGACCCCGGGACAGTCCCCGGCAATGACCAGGTTAAAGCAGGACACCGCGACGCTGTCGAAAAATGCGCACGCGCAGAGCCTGGAGTGCGCCTGCGCATCGCGTAGGGTTACGTGGCCGGCCGGAAGTGGCCTGCACAGAACCGCTGCGGTACCAACTCTGCTAGCGGTCTGGGTCCAGCACTGGGTTGCTACTTTGCGTCCCCGCCGGTACCAACATGCTGAAGAAATTCGACAAGAAAGACGAGGAATCGGGTGAGTGGGCCCAGACTGGGTCAAGGCCTGGGGGATACAGGACCCTCGCGCAAGCTCTTAGCACTCTCCCTGGGAGACTTTCTTCGGGGCGTTTGTTATGACGCCTGGCGGCGGCCCATTCAGGAGCAGGGCCTTATGTGAAGTTCACACCTGGTCAGTGGCAGGCATCGGAGAGCCAGAGCATGCTCCACTAATCCCTCACTCCTAAGCTCGGACCGCGATTCGTTGGCTGACCTTGGGCGGGGTCACGCGCCTATCCGGGCCTCAGTTTCCCCATCTGTCAGGGGAGGAGACCGGGCCAGATGCTCATTTGTTACTTTCCCAGTCCCACCTGTTGGGACTAGGCGGGGGCTGCGTTGGCGCTGGCCAAACTGGGGCGGAATCTAAATTGCAGTGTCCTGTGGCTGATAACCACATGATGATTCTCATTTTTAATTCAGCAAACAATTATTAAGCGCTTACAGCATGCCAGGCTCTGTACTGAGTCCTGGCGCAGTGCCCAGAATCTTGGAGCCTGATCTGGGAATATTTGAATAGTGACAAGCATAGGAGACAGAAGCCAACCAAATAATCACATGCAGTTAATCACAAATGTGACATCTGCTGTGAAAAAATCATAGTGTCTGAGAGACGGTGGTCCCTACATATAGTAGGGAGTCAGTAAATACCAGTTGCATAAAGGAATGCAAGACCTGGCACTTCGAGAAGCACAGAAGGACGGTCCCAGAGCTTCTAGGTAACTGTAAGTGGTTTGGGGTAGGGGGAGCCCCCTTGCAGGAGAGCGGTAGGATCTATACCCAGGTAGAGGTTTGCCATTCCAAAGGACTTTAAGCCTGACTGTGTAGACCACAGGGACATCTTTCCCTTCTCTGTCTCTGCAAGCATGTTAAAATTCAGGGTTGCAACCTGTAGTCAGCCTTCTCTGTTCTCTGCCTGTAGGTGGAGGCTCCAACCCATTCCAGCACCTTGAGAAGAGTGCAGTACTCCAGGAGGTAAGACAGGCAGACATGTCTTCCAACATAAATATTCACAATTGATGCAATCAAAATACTAACACATTCAAAGTGCTGATTTAAAGAATGACATGGAAGAAAACCTATTCCTGGAAAGACAGGAAAACTCTGATCCTGCAGAGAGTTCATTATGCTTACATTTTTGTGTTTGTTTGTTTCTCCTTCCAGTGAACAAGCATTTACTATCTGTTAGTCAATAAGTCAGCACATCCCTAACCAACATCTAGGGAAGACATCAGGATTTGTTAATAGATGAATTAAGGAAGAAGCAAAAGAAAACTCTTTCCTTATGAAAATAGACTTGTCTAGGCAAGCATATTTATTTAACCTGGGACATCTCAGACTTGTTCTTGTGGGTAGTCAACGGAGAAATACACTGGGCTTGAAGGTAATATCATTGGTCACTTCTTTTTAGGCCCGTGTATTTAACGAAACTCCTATCAACCCTCGGAAATGTGCCCACATCCTCACCAAGATCCTTTACCTTATAAACCAGGTATCAGGGTGAGGCTTGGGGGTGGGGAAAACAGTGCTGGAGGATGTTGGGGGACTGGTGTGCACAAGTCAGATAGCGCTTAGGCTGTTTGACAGCCCCTGGGGGGTTGTAACCAGCGGCCAGCCCTGGGTCCTCTTGGTGTCTAACTCTCATGTGTTGCCCTTGATGGTGCCTCTGCAGGGTGTGAGGATCTGGTCTGGGCTGATGTGGCAGAAGGTGCCTTCTGCCCTCTCTGTCCCAAGCTGAAACTTTCTTGCTTAAAACAGGGGGAGCACCTGGGGACCACAGAAGCAACCGAGGCCTTCTTTGCCATGACCAAGCTCTTCCAGTCCAACGATGTAAGTGCCCGAAGCCCAGCTTTCCTTGAGAGGATTTTAATTTAGTCCACAGCTGCTGTGTGTATCCACAGCTATGACAGGGTGGTGGTAGGGCCCAGGGAGGCTGGTCTCCCCCATCAGTGTGGGCTACCTTTGTGTCAATTGGAGTTTTCTTTTCCTAACCTTGGCCCTCATGCTGAGCCAGTGGCCATAGGGCCTTTCTCATCCCTTTCTCATGGCATCTCATCCCAGCCCACACTCCGTCGGATGTGCTACTTGACAATTAAGGAGATGTCTTGCATTGCAGAGGATGTCATCATCGTTACTAGCAGGTGAGTCCTGAGCCTGTGGATGGCTCCTCTGATGGATTCCACTGACACAGGCCATTTTTTTCTCATGGCTATCAGGCAGTGAGACTTTGTTTGAGATATTGCCAGGCTCCCTTTCCTCTTCTGTCTTCCTCATCCTTTAGTTACTACTGCCCACCCCATGGCAGCCTCTAGAATGTGCAGTTTCCATTTTAATTTAGGCACAAACCCTTCCTTCCCTGGTTCCTCTTAGTCAACTGAGCCAGCCTGGAACTTTCACAATGACTTTGTTAGTGAGTACCAAGAAGAAAAGACAAGAAAGTCAGACAGAGAGAATGCAGGGGGCCTACACACAGGCTTGCTTATTAAGTACTGGTTTCTGCATCAGGCTGAGTTATGCAAGGGACAGATGGGACTAAATTAAAATCCCTGCCCTGAAGAACTGGGGCTTAGTCCTCTTACTTCTTGCCCCAGTTTGGGTTGGTGGGGATGTTACACATTCATTTGCATTTAGAAAATATTAAGTGTCTGCCAGTCCCTGTGTGTAGTTCTGGGAATATAGCAGCAAACAAAACAGACATGGTCTGTGCAGCCCCAGAATTTACAGAGAAATAACCAGGCAGAGAGATGTTAGGGTGTCATACAGTTTATCACGGAAAGTATGATAGGCTGTGAGCACAAGGCTATCCGGCTTGAATTTAGGTCAGGAAGGGCCTAGAACTATCTGAGCAATATCTTGAGAGGAGTAAGAAATGGCAGGACGGTGTGTGTGGGGGTGAGAGGCGGGTGGAGGTGAGCGGTCAGGGACTGCCCCAGGCTGAGTAAACAGCCAATGCCAAGGCCTGGAGAGGAGAGAGCAGGCCTGTTTGGAGATGTCCTGTTCAGGAGTGTACATGTGATGGTGATTGCAGTAGGAAGCTTGGGGAATGTTTTACTGAAAGGGAGTGACCTGGTCAGTTTGGAGCGTTATAAATAACCTCTTTGGTGGCTGTGTGGAGTTTGGCTTGGAAGGACCAAGAATACAGAGAGAAGGCTACTTAGAGACTGGTAGACATTCAGGCAAGTGTGGTGACGGGAGCTGGAGAGGAGCAGGTGGGAACGTGGAATTGGGGAGGGCAGGCTAGGCTCCTGCATGTAGACAAGGCCTTCTCCCCTGCCCCCCAGCCTGACAAAGGACATGACCGGGAAAGAAGACAACTATCGGGGCCCTGCTGTGCGAGCCCTCTGCCAGATCACCGATGTGAGTCTGCTGCCCTCTCTCTTCCTCCGCCCTCTTCTCAGTTGAGGCTCGACCTCCTCCTGTGCATGCTTTACATTGTCCTCCATCCCAAGGGCAAAGCCCTGAGCCAGGTGATGTGGGGGTGAGGGCAGGGTGCAGGGACACAAGGAGCATGTGGCCCCCTTCCCCCTCGTCCTCAGTGCTCCGTACCCCACCACCGCACTCCTGAGGGTGCCAAGGATTGATCAGGCCCTTCCCTCCCCACTGTCCCCACAGGGCACCATGCTACAGGCTATTGAGCGGTACATGAAACAGGCCATCGTGGACAAGGTGCCCAGTGTCTCCAGCTCTGCCCTGGTGTCTTCCCTGGTGTGTAGCTGCTGCCGGGATGCTGTGTGGCTGGGGTTGGGAGGTGGATTGGGAAACTGAAGAAAATAGTCGATTTCCAATAGGGAAACAAAATGTATCAGATCCCTAAATCTGAGAGTCCCATCCCACTTCTCAGTGGAGAATTCCCGGGAACTCTGGGTTGATTGAGGAGGGGCCTGTTGGACAGCTTTGACCCTTCTCTTGGGGTGACAGCCTGTTGGAGTTTGGGCCTGACAGGAAATCTTTGAGGGTGGGAGCAGTGCTGAGTTCCTGCGCTGTCTTAGTGGACCAGGACAGCAGAGGAGCCCTGGGCTGTGTTGGGGAGGACCCTGGGCTGGGCTGAACTGTGCGCTGGGCGCAGGAGGCATGACTATAGAGCGCCCTGCCCACCTGCCCCTTCACGTGCCCTATTGCCCACAGCACCTGCTGAAGTGCAGCTTTGATGTGGTCAAGCGCTGGGTGAATGAGGCCCAGGAGGCAGCATCCAGCGATAACATCATGGTCCAGGTGAGGCGTGAGTGGAGCAGTGATATTTACAACCCTTAGGAGGTGGACAGCACAAGCTGGCTAGTAGAAATGGATGCCCACCATGGAGATCTGCGGCCCCTCTCAGGAGCAGGCCTTAATCCTCGCAGTGGGTGTTAGGGAGACTTGGGCTTTGGGAAAGAATCTAGGGCACCACTTGTGGGGATTTGGGTTAGAGACTGCTTACCAGCTTGTAGTGACACATTCAGATGTGTTACTGACCAGCTCAGTGTGGTTTTGGGGTATGGGCTGGAGCACACCTGGCCCAGGCAAGCAGAGGGCCTTTGCCAAGCTGGCTTTAGTGATGCATGGAAATAGCTTAGTGGGACTTTCATCTCCTTATCTTTTTCCAGTGACCTAGGCTAGGAACTTCTTTTTCATCAATTTGAGTCTGTTTCCTTGTCTATGAAATGGGAATGAAAGTTCTTGCCTCACAAAGCTGTAAGGATAAGATGAACCTCTGTAACACTTGACCCTCCTCCTGATACATACCTATGAGGAGCGCCTACCTGTAGGGGGTGGGTATCTATGGGGAGCATATACCTGTAGTGGATGCATACCTGTAGGGGGCGAGTACCTATGGGGAGCACATACCTGTAGTGGATGCATACCTGTAGGGGGCATGTACCTATGGGGAGCACATACCTGTAGGGGGTGCATACCTGTAGGGGGCATGTACCTATGGGGAGCACATACCTGTAGGGGGTACATACCTGTAGAGGGCATGTACCTATGGGGAGCACATACCTGTAGGGGGTGCATACCTGTAGGGGCATGTACCTATGGGGAGCACATACCTGTAGGGGGTACATACCTGTAGAGGGCATGTACCTATGGGGAGCACATACCTGTAGGGGGTGCATACCTGTAGGGGGCATGTACCTATGGGGAGTACATACCTGTAGGGGGTACATACCTGTAGAGGGCATGTACCTATGGGGAGCACATACCTGTAGGGGGTGCATACCTGTAGGGGCATGTACCTATGGGGAGCACATACCTGTAGGGGGTACATACCTGTAGAGGGCATGTACCTATGGGGAGCACATACCTGTAGGGGGTGCATACCTGTAGGGGGCATGTACCTATGGGGAGTACATACCTGTAGGGGGTGCATACCTGCAGGGGGCATGTACCTGTGGGGAGCACATACTTGCAGTGGATGCATACCTGTAGGGGGTGCATACCTGTAGGGGGCGAGTACCTATGAGGAGCACATACCTGTAGTGGATACATACCTGTAGGGGGCATGTACCTACGGGGAGCACATACCTGTAGGGGGTGCATACCTGTAGGTGGTCCCTGTATGTTCATCTCTTCTCTTTTCTCTTCACCTTTGTGCTGATCCTCATCTCCATGGCCAGCTGTGCCCCACAAACACTCCTCCCTCATAGAAGGCACCCATAGCCACCATGCCTTAGCCCTTGTATGCCACTCTGGCAGGGTAACAGGAAAGAGCTGAGGGGACAGGAAGTAGCTCTGTGCACCTCACATCTCCAGAAGAGCCCTGGGCTTTGGGCCTCCAGGTCTGGCTCTGTCAGCATCTGCCATGGTCCTTGGGCAAGTATGTGGGGATAAGAGTGTTGTACCAGTTCACTCTGTAAGGTGTTCTGGCTGAGGTGTGCCACTCAGTGCCTTCCAACACATCTGTGCCCAGGGCCTGGCTCTTGCTTTCTCTTCCTTGTCAAAAGACAGCTGGTCTCCCATCCTTTCATCTCTGTGCCATCTGTTCTTTCCCTCCACACCTGTGCTCATGACGCCTGTCTGGGCCCTTGGCAAAATCAGGGTGGGAGTGAGAACTGCAAATATACTCTTGCGGTTTGTCGAGCACCGTGCAGGGGGCTATCTGGAGGAATTGTCACCACCACCCTGTGCCCCAGCTCTGACGATGCCTGTCTTAGAAATGAGAAGGCTGAAGCCCAGAGACTGTAGTGGCCTGCCGTGGCTGGTAGCCTGGGCTTCACCTGCCCGTGCTCTGCCGCCATCTCCCGTCCTCAGTACCACGCCCTGGGGCTCCTGTACCACGTGCGGAAGAACGACCGCCTGGCTGTCAATAAGATGATCAGCAAGTTCACCCGGCATGGCCTCAAGTCTCCCTTTGCCTACTGCATGATGATCCGCGTGGCCAGCAAGCAGCTGGAGGAGGAGGACGGCAGGTAAGGGCTCCTGTCAGCCTGGCTGAGGATGCCGCACCCAGTGCTTGGCCATTCCCAGCTTCCTCTTTGCGCCCATGTTCTCTTGTAGCCGTGACAGCCCACTGTTTGACTTCATCGAGAACTGCTTGCGTAACAAGCACGAGATGGTGGTGTACGAAGCCGCCTCTGCCATTGTCAACCTGCCAGGCTGCAGTGCCAAGGAGCTGGCCCCAGCTGTGTCAGGTTACCAGATTTTCATGCCCCTTCACATGTTTATGCCTGCTGGGAGCTCAGCCCTGCCCTGGGAATCCTGGGAAAGGAAGAGAAGGCCCCCAAATAGGCCACAGTCTAGTGATAAGAAAAGGAATCGGTGCCTAGTAAGTACCTGCTCTGGGCCAGGCACTGTGCCAGAGCCTGTTACACTTTGGGTTTGGGGTCCTTCAATCTGGTCTTAGCACAAACAAGGCTGGAGCTCTCTAAGTGGCAGACGTGAGGTTCAAATCTACTCTGCAGCCTGTGGGGCTGGCTAGCCGTGGCACGAGGGCCTGGGGGGACCCAGGATTTATGACACCAGTGCATGTCCACTAGGGGGTGAGCCATCTCAGGTGAAGGAGAAGGCAGTTCTGAGCCTGGGCATGGGCCCAGAAGCCTGGGTTGGAGTCCTGGCCCTGCCCTTTAGCATCCTCCCCAGGCGTTACCCCCTGTGAAATGTAGATAGTGGTGGTGCCTGTCACATAGAGGTATGGTAGGTAGTAAACCTGAGTGGTCTATACAAATGGCTTAGAACAGTGCCTAGCACCATGGTGAACACAGAGTAAGTTGTTCTTTGTGGTCATTAAGGAGAATCCACCAGGCTCGAGTGGTTTCAGAGCTAGTCATTTAATGCTCAGTGCTGTGTTTGTGCAGAACCCTGTGCTAGGTAGTCAGATCTCAGCATATATAAGGGTAGTGAGCCTGTGATGATGTGCTAGGTAGTCGGTACCAGAAAGCAGGTACATGGACAAGTTAGTAAAGGAGAGGTTCTTAGGAATGCCCAGATTTAGAGTTGGAGAAGAGGAGAGAGTGTTCTAGAAGGACAAACCCAATGAAACCAAAGGTTTCATGACAGCAGAATTCAAGTTGCAGATTTTCAGGAATGATCAACTTCCTGTTTTTCTAATATTCTCCATGATAATGATGTAAAGCTGGTCAAACAGACAGGTGGGGTCCATGTTTGGAGAGAGAAGTCTCGCTTCCAACCTGGAGACAAAAATATAAGAAGTAAATGGATTCATTCACTGATACAGGTGTTCATTCATTTTTATTGTATTCCCTGTATTGGCAGAATAATGAAAGAAATAAGATAGAGTCTTCAAAATAAGAGGTATCTTATTTTAAGAAAAACAAAAGTTAGTGCTGAGTCGTATAAGCATGAAAGCCAGACGAAGGAACGCAATACCCCAGGTTACAGCGGCCATGTTCACTAACACAGCCAGTGCAGAACCAGCTCTGAGCTTCCTGACAGCAGAACCTGGGGAGGGATATGCTGCCTGACAGGCGCCTGCAGAGCTTGGGAACCAAGGCAGTTGTTTGAGACAGCACTGAGGATACTCTGGTTTCCTGCACATCCTGGGTGGAGATTTACCTCCCCGGGGCCAAGGGCTCACTTCCGGTATACAGGCAGTCCTGGATGGCGGTCCTGGTGCTGCCAGCTGCTGGCTGCTAACCTATCATACCTTAGTTGCTTTTCCTCTTTGCGCCTCAGTCTGGGTAGCTGTTCAGTGGGGAAAATAACAGTTGGTGCTCTATAGGTTTCTGAGAAATCAGTTAAAGCCAGGCAGCTCCTCAGCACAGTGCCAGGCACACAGCAGATGCTCAACTGTCATCATTCATAGGCCCTCCTCCTGTCCCCCCTCCCAGTTGTAAATCTCTGCTCATGACTCAGGTGCCCAGGGACCAGAGAGCTCCTCCTTGGCCAGGGTAGGGGTGCTGTAGGGAAATGAGCTGAGCAGAGGGTTTGGGTCTGAGCAGTTGCAGAGCCCTTGCACACCCTCGAAGCCCTGTTCTGCCCCTCCCCAGAGGCCTCCCTGGGGCTTCCCAGCTGCGGAGGGGGAAGGGCAGCCTGGCATGTGCATGTCTCCCCACAGTGCTCCAGCTTTTCTGCAGCTCACCCAAGGCCGCTCTCCGTTACGCTGCTGTCCGTACCCTCAATAAGGTAAGAGTCCCAGGGTGGGCAGAATGGGAGGCCTGCCCTTTTCAGAGGATCAAATGAGCAGCCTGATCCAGCTGGAGGTGTTTCCTAGCCCCTGACCTACAAAAGGTGTAGCCCTGGTCACAGTTACTTTCTACCAGATGGTGAGATGAGTTCATCCTCTGACCAAGTCAGAGGACCTCTGACCAGGCCAGACCCATCCAAACAGATGACAAAAGTCCTTTACTACCCCTTGCCCCTGTCCTCTTTCTCTTTCTTCCCCAAACAGGTTGCCATGAAGCATCCGTCAGCAGTGACAGCCTGTAACCTGGATTTGGAGAACCTGGTCACAGATTCCAACCGCAGCATCGCCACACTGGCCATCACCACCCTCCTCAAGACTGGCAGTGAGAGCAGCATCGACCGCCTCATGAAGCAGATCTCCTCCTTTATGTCAGAGATCTCAGATGAATTCAAGGTACTGGGTGGCTCTGGGGCACCCACCGTCTCCAGTCAGCAAGGTGCTCTGGGCCTGCTCTCCATGACCCCCAGCCCCTGGGCTGGGATTGACCTGAGGGGCTGGTCAGGCCTGAGGACTCGGCAGAGAAGTCCTCAGTCACCCCATACAGGGGCCTCAGGAGATGCACACAGTCCTGCCTCCAGGCCTTTGTCCATACCATTCCTCTGGACAGCCAGGTGGCAGGGCCTGGCGCAAGGGCTGGAGTGAATGTTGTCCAAGGTAGGGCATTTTCTAGCTGAGGTTGATGGTCGTACCATCGATCAGTTTGGGGAAGTGGGGAGAGGGTCAGTCTTGGGTGTGGGAAGGGGCAAGGTCATGATGATTGCTGACCTGCTGAGTGTGAGGTGCCTGGGGGCTCCAGGTGGAATTGTTTGGTAGACGTTTGAACTCAGACAAGAGACAAAGATTTGGGGTCAGTGTTGTAGAAGTGGCTAAAACCAGGGGAGGAGATAAGATTGCTGGAGAGACTGCATGGGAAGAGGGCCAAGGACAGGATACCCAAAGACGAGCCAGGAGGGCCGGGTGGGAACCAGGAGGGTCAGCTGGGATGAGAGGGGCTCCAAGACCTGAGGGCAGAGTGGAAGGGCAGAGTGGAGGACCCAGAGTCCGCGTCCAGGGCTCTTGGGTCTCTGCGCAGGCCCCCTGCCCTGGGTAGGCTCCGGGGTCATGCTCTCTCAGGGTGGGGCTGGAGCCTTAGCCAAGGAAGAATTCTGTTAGTGCTTAGTGAACTGAGTACCTTGATCCTCGTGGCAGGGGGCTGCTGCTTACACATGTGCTTTTGACTCAGGTGGTGGTTGTCCAGGCCATCAGTGCCCTGTGTCAGAAGTACCCTCGCAAACATGCTGTCCTCATGAACTTCCTGTTCAGCATGCTGCGGGAGGAGGTATGAGTGGGGCCCTCAGGGTGCGCCGGGATCCCTGGTGCTGGGGGCGGGGAGGCCTGGCTGCTGGCTTCCCTCTCGACTGGGGGCCAAGACCCCTCTTCCTGGGCGTACGCACATCAACCTCCTAACTGGGTGGATTTCCTGGTGCCTGCGGCCCCTTAAACTCCTCATGGGCCAACAGTCTAAACATGTGCCAATTACTGATATTTGCAGTAATAACTATAATGATGCCCCACCCTGGCTGTAAAGACTCAGCAGGTGTCCTGAGGCCATGCTTGTGCTGGAAATGGGGAAACCTGTGTTCTGTACTGTTGTCCAGTGTAGAAATATTCTGGGCCGTTCCAGGGGTGGTTTCTTGTAAAACTGATACTAAGAATGTGACATTGATTCTATTTTTGTTTGTGACCTGAATTAGTGATTCACTTATGCCACTGTTCTTGGATGTCACAACAAAACTGGGTAATTCAGAGGAGCAGATGGAAAGTGTGGAGTAGATGAGGTCCCCATATCCTTGGTGCCCCTTTGCCCCAGCCCCAGAGTGGCCCTTGGACTGAGGTAGTGGAAGTACCATTACCTTGGCTTCTTTGGGGTTCCCAGGAGCATTAGAGGGGCAGAGGGCACAGTGTTCAGGGAGCCTTCAGCTAATGGGCTGGCACTTGGGCGACACTACACAGTGTACACAATCTTGTGATCCTCATAACAGGCCTTGTCAGTAGACTTTATTATCTCTCTTTAAAAATCAGGGATCTGAGACTCAAAGACCTGCCAGGTCACCTCAGTAAGTATCTGAGCCAAGATCCAGGGCCCATGGTTTTCTCCCAGAGCTCCTTTCCTTCCAGAAGAGCTCATAGTTCGATGTAACAGTTTAGTGTAAGACCTTCACTCATTAGAGCACAGCACTTAGACTCTGAGACCTTGCCCTCTAGAAAGTGCTCCTGCAGAGGGCATGTCATTCTCTAGTCAGGGCAGCTCCCAGCAAAGCCTTGATGAGGTTGCTCTGAACTTCATGCTGCCCACCAAGCTGGTTGGCTGGCTGTAGAACTGAAATACAGCATTTGAAGGTTCATAGTGCACCTACTCCCATGACAGCCTTGTTTGAAATGTACAATATCGTATAAATAGCATCTTACTCTTCAAAAGGTCTTTGTTATGCAGGTGCCTGAGGTTCAGACAAGGAAAGTGACACAGCCATAAAACAGAAACTAAGCTGAGAACAGAGACTGGATTTGACCCTTATGCAAGTTTGACCTGCATTTGACCCATGTGCAATTTTTACATGAATAATTTTTAAACCTTTCAAATTAGTAGCCATTATTTAAAATCCAGGAAAAAACCACCACCACAACAGATTCAAGTTTCTCTTACAAAACTTGTAAGATCTGGGCTGAGGGGTGATTTCCCTCTTTAGGTGGGGTGGGCAGTGTCCTTTGCTGCAGTGTTCCTGTGTGGTTGGCTTCATGGTGTCAGGCTACACGTCTGGCACCTATAGGCATCTCAGTTGTCACCTCTGTCTTTAAAGTCTGCGAGTAACAGAGCATAGATTGCGTCCAGGATCTTCTGATTCTCTACTGCCACATTCTGCCTCTTCCTTTTTGTGATAAAATACGCAACATAAAATTAACATTGTAACTGTTTTAAAGGGTATAGTTCAATATTGTTAAATATATTTACATTGCTGTGCCACTAATCTCCATAACTTTTCATCTTGCAAAACTGAAACTGTATACCTATTAAATAATAACCCCTTATTTCCCATTCCCCCGGATCCCCAGAACCACTATTCTTTCTGTCTCTGTAAATCTGACTGCTCTAGGGACCTCCTGGTGGAATCACAGTATTTGTCCTTTTGGGACTGGCTTATTTCACTTGGCACAGTGTCCTCAAGGTTCATACATATTGTAGCATGTGTCAGAATTTCCTTCCTTTTTAAGGCTGAATAATATTCCGTCAGGTGGGTAGACCATGTTTTGTTTATCCATTCATCCATCAGTGCACTTGGGTTGTTTCTATCTTTTGGCTATTGTGAATAATGCTGCTGGGAGCATGGGTGTGCAGGTATCTCTTTGAGACTCTGCTTTCAATTCTCTGCGGTGTATTGCGAGAAGTGGGGTTACCAGGTCATATGGCAATTCTATTTTTAAAAAATTTCTGAGGAACCACCATGTTTTCCATAGCTTCTACACTACCATTCTACCTTATCTCAATGTTGGGAAGAAAAGTAAGACCCAAAATGTTTCTGTTAAACTATCTACTGACTGTTAGATTTGAAAGGGCCTCAGCGAGCATTCAGTCCAACCTTTTGTTTTACACAAAAAGGAGAGAGAGAGACCAGCAAGCCAGGTCCCCTGTGTCCAGGTTCTGCATTTGGACTACTGTCCCTGTTCCTGACAAGGCTCTGCACCTCATAGCCACTTTCTGGTGAGAACAGCCTCCTTGCTCAGTTGAGCCCTCCCACTGCAGGGTGGCTTTGAGTACAAGCGGGCCATCGTGGACTGCATCATCAGCATCATCGAGGAGAACACAGAGAGCAAGGAGACGGGGCTGTCCCACCTGTGTGAATTCATCGAGGACTGCGAGTTTACTGTGCTGGCCACTCGCATCCTGCATCTCCTGGGCCAGGAGGGCCCCAAGACCAATAATCCCTCCAAGTACATCCGCTTCATCTACAACCGAGTGGTCTTGGAGCATGAGGAGGTCCGGGCAGGTGGGTCTGAGCCAGGGCTGAATGTGGGCACATAGCTTTCTCTTGAGTAGACTGATCTGGCAAAGGGCACTTGGCTTCCTTGCCTCACAAGCACAGTGTTTTATTATAAGAAGGACATAGGTGCTTTGATGTCATTGAGTTGAACGGATCTTTAGTTCTCTGTGTTATTGATTTCTTATTTTTTAATACTATATGTTGGTGTTTAGCTTTGTCTTTTTGTTTGTTCTTTTCTTGGTGTTTAACTTTTTTTAGACTCATAGCCATATTGACATATAACTGACATACCATAAAATTCACTTGTAAATGGGTGTACAATTCAGCGTGCAACCATCATATTCTTTATTTTATTTTTAATTTACTGTTCATTCTTCTCATGCCTCCACTGGACAGATTTTCCTCTTTTACCAATTAATAGTCCTTAAGTCATAGTTCATTTTCTTGTTTATATTAATCTAAAGCCTCCCTGTGCATTGAGGCCATTTCAGTACAGAAGCCAGCTTCTGTGGCTTCATCACAATTAATGCTAACATGGCTCCTGGAACCAGAGAATGGGGCTGCCTTCTCCATGACATAGAGGGGGAGGCTGAGGCCGAGTGCAGCCAAGGTCCCCCCAGACCCAACTGTGGCTTCGGTGGTGGGGGGTTTGGGTCACCTGGCGTGGGAATGCCTGGCTTCGGGCTTCTACTGCCCAAAGGTGCATTCTGAGCACCGGACATACCCAAGCAGTGAGCTGTCAAGTGTGTCAGGTAACTCATTTTGCTTCACCAACACAGGCGCAGTGAGTGCTCTGGCCAAGTTTGGAGCCCAAAATGAAGAGATGTTACCCAGCATCTTGGTATTACTGAAGAGGTGAGTTGAGGCCAGAGAGCCCTGGTAGATGACAGAGTTGCCTCAGTCCAGGTGTCCATCCTTTGTCTCTTAAAAGGGGGAGAAAAATTATCCAGTGATGGATTGTAAGAAAAAAATAGCAAAGAAAAGCATGCAAAACAAAATCATGGAAAACTCTCCCCTCCCAGACGTGGTCATTATTAATGTGAGTTAATTTCTTTTTTTAAAAATAGCTTCATTGCTTTATAATTCATAAACTATGCAATTCACCCATTTAAAATCTTTAATACGATGGTTTTTAGTACGTTCACTGAGCCATGAACTACTGCCACAATCTAAGTTTAAAACATTTTTATCACCCTGAGAAGAAACCCCATCCCCATTCACAGTCACTTCTCCCCGCCAGCCCAGCCCTATCACTCACCTGCTTTCTGTCTCTGGATTTGCTCATTCTGGATGTTGCGTATAAACGCAGCCATACAATGTGTGGCCTTTCAGGGTCTGGCTTCTTCATTTTTCCAAGGTTCATCCATGTTGGAACATGAACCAGTACTTAATTCCTTTTTCTGGCCAAATAGTATTCTGTTGTGTGGACAGTCCACATTTTGTTTATCTGTTTATCAGTTAATGGACATTGGGTTTTTTCCACTTCTTGGCTTTTGTGTATAGTGCTGCTGTATTCATGGGCCAGTTTTATGTGATATGCATTTCCATTCCTCTTGAGAACACACTGAGTGGAACTGTTGCATAGTATTAAATTATCTTTGGACATACGCTTTTGGATACAGGAGGTAGAGTTCCTCCCTCACTGGGTGGGCTTTAAGGAGAGGGTCAAGAGCATATGAATATGGCCACCTGCTGGCTAATTAGTTAGCATCTCTTAGGCTTATCTGCATTTGATGCCTGGATACCACATCTGGGGACCAAACCTTAAGAGACTTGCTTCCTCTAGCCATTCTCTGATGAAGCCCTTCAGCTTCCCACCTGTCTCCTCTGTGGGGACCCCCCCAGTCAGGAGTACCTTGTGTTCTGGCTGTAGGTGTGTGATGGATGATGACAATGAAGTCAGGGACCGGGCTACCTTCTATCTCAATGTCCTGGAGCAGAAGCAGAAGGCCCTCAACGCTGGCTATATCCTAAACGGTGAGCCTTGCCCTAGCTGCCTCTGACCCAGCCCCGACTGGAGCACCGGCCCTTCTCAGCACCCCAGAGGGGAACTCTGCATAGCCTTCTGAAGCAGAGAAAATCCGAGGCAAGCCACTCTGGGCTGGGCTTGCATGGCAACTTGATGGCATCACTGTGACCTCAGGGGACAAGGGTCCTGTGGTTCACACCTGTGTAGGTGGAAACAGCTCAGTGAATTGAAACTCTAGTCATTAATAAAAACCTCCATGTGCGTAGCACTTTACTCTGTAAGTCACTCTGGTGTATATATATGTAATTCCCTACACCAGGCCTGTGGAGGAGGATTAGGTGAGAAAGTGGGGGTCCAGAAGGGTAAGGGGTTTTCACAGGGTGGTCCAGCCTAGGCCCCAGGGCCCCAGTCTTCCATGGCAGGTTCCTGGTGTTCATTCTGTCACGTGTTCCAGGCGTGACCTCTCCCCTGGCCTCTAGGTCTGACAGTTTCCATACCTGGCCTGGAGCGGGCCCTGCAGCAATACACTCTGGAACCATCAGAAAAACCTTTCGACCTCAAATCTGTGCCCTTGGCCACCACGCCCATGGCAGAGCAGAGAACGGGTAGGTAACAGCTGTACACCTTTCAGAGGCCCTCGGGGGCAGGCCTTCAGGAAGGGGCTGTACTGGAAGTGAGGCCACTGAGTCCCACTAACTAACCACGGTGGCTGGGGTTGGCTGAGAGGAGGGACTGATTCTTCCTCTGCCTCCAGGAAATGGTACACATACACACTAACCCCTGCTCTCTTCCCCACTTTTTCTGTACGTCCTTCTGTCTCAGGAGGTAGGACATTCTCGCTGGGTAATAGCACAGTGCCCATTACTGGAGTCACTGGTCACCATGTGTATTTGCTCCCACAGAAAGCACCCCCCTCACAGCAGCCAAGCAGCCTGAGAAAGTGGCGGCCACCCGGCAGGAGATCTTCCAGGGTGAGTAGCAATGCTTGGTGGGGCCCTTGGGACTGGCTTGATCTCGTCAGCTTGCGGGTAGCTGTCCTTGGGAATTAAGAGGAAGAACTGTTGTTCATTGGGTGTGTCCTGAGGGCTGGGCCATGAGAGTGCTCAAACAGCAAATTTGAGCCTCGGGGAAGTTACTGGATCCATTTGATATCTGAGGAGTCGGAAGCTGAGAGAGAGAGCAGCTTGCCCAAGGTTGCACAGTAGGAAAGTGGAGGGTCTGAAAGTAAGATCCAGATCAAACTGAAACTGGCTCAGAGCTGCCACTCGGCCTTCATTCTGATGCCTGAGGTCCCTAAAGCCCAGCCCAGGTCCGGATGTCTGATTCAGAACAGTTGGGGTCCAAAGACACTGGTCCTTTTTCTTGGGTTCCAGATGTGTTCAGTCCACATTGTCTAGTATGGTTTTGCCTAGGTATTTATCCATCCCTCTGGTCTTGAATTCATCTAATTGCCAGACAATTTATCCACTGAATTCCTTTCCTCAAGGACTAGCACATTCCCCTCTTCCTCCATGAAGGATCACCTAAGCTCATCACTTCTATACCAGCTCTTCGGTCTTCCCTGAATAGTCTTGTATGGTCCTTCTATGTTCTTTTATATCCTCCGTCAGCACCTAGCATAGTACCTGCCTTTCTCACAGCAGGCTCCCAGTTATTGTTGACTTAAATTAGGTCCTCCCATTCCACTCCAGCATCCTGTCTTCTGTCAGCAACTATCTTTGAGATTCAGCAAAGCTGGGATCCTGAGCTGACTGGGATCACTCTGATCTGAGACTTTTCCTCCTGTGTTAGTGCCCTCTTGCTGCTCTGGCAGATCACCACAAACTTAGCAGCTTAACTCAACACAAATTCAGTATCTAACAGTTCTGTGTTCAGAAGGCCAAAGCGGGTTTCACTGTGTTGACAGTGCTGGGATCGCTCCAGAGGCTCTGGAGGCTATGGGAGAATTGTTTCCTTGTCTTTGCTAGTTTCTGGAGGCCGCCTACATTCCTAGCCAAGGAGTGCCCCACTCTATCATCACAGCCAGCAGTGTAGCCTCTTCAAATTTCTCTAATAATCAGATAATTCAGGATGCAGCCAGATAATCCAGGATCATCTCTGTGTCTCAAGATCCAGCTTAATCATATCTGCAGATTCTCTTTTACCATGTGATATAACATATTCACAGGCTCTGGGAATTAGCCTCTGGACATCTTGGGGTGTCTGCCCCAAGCATTCTGCCATACCTTCCAAGGAAGCCTCCTTCTAAGCACCTTCGAGGGCATCAGTTTCATTTTAAACAATCTTCCCAAACCTAACATTTATTGTTCACATTAAATTCCAGGAACATTGCTAGAGCTTCACATTTATTGCCTCATTTATCTTCACAGCAACCCTATGTGCAAGATCATTGTATTGATTTTATTGATAAAGAGTCAAACTCAAAGGCATTAGCTGACAGCTACCAGCAGAGTCCTCCAGGTAGTAAGTGTCAGGTCTTGAAACTTAATGCCCAATGAAATAAATTCCCATAGAAAAGTGCTCTGGTAGCTGATGATCACAGTGGCCCAAAAGTTCTTCCTAGTATCTGAGTTGACTCTTCCTGGGCTTTATTGCCTGTGTATTCATTAGATACAGCCCTTCAGGCTGCAGAGGGCTGAAGCAGTCATGTTGACCATATGTGGGAGGAGAAGCAAAATCATAACAATAATCCCTACTTTCAGTGTCTATTCCTGAAACGTGAATTGAGTACCTTCTAAGTTCACAGCAAAATACCAGATCCCTGGCCTCGGGTCAATTCCTGGCCTTATAGAGTTCATTTCAATGGGGAAGACAGGTTGAAAATGTTGGAGCAGTGGTCTTCAAATAACTGCATACATCAGAGCCATCTGAGAGTGTTAGAAAGGCCTGGCTCCTGTACCCAGGGATTCTTATAGAACAAATTTGGGATGGGTAGAAGGAGCTGAGTGTTTTCCTGAATAATTCTGATAGGGGTCATCTGTGTCTATAGTTTGAGGAGTCCCGCCCCTGCAGTGGAATAGGGGTGAGAGCAGCAGCGGTAGCATCATAGGCAAACATGTGCAGACAGCTGCCAGATGCCTCTTTTCACATGGATGGGCCTGGATAGGGGCTAGTGCCTGGGCCAGAGCACCTAGCCCAGTGCTGGAATCTGGCTGTGGGATGTAGGGACAGGCCGTACCAGGTGCCCAGGCCATCCTAAGTTGGGTTTTCTGCAACAGTCTGAGTCTGAAAAATCTCTATTCGTCATTTGTCTTAACTTAAAAATGTGTAGGACCATACTGACCTACTGGCCTACTAACCTACTAATTCATTGACCTCTGATCCCTCCTCACTTCCCTCTCGGCCTTGGTCTGTCCTATCCCACTCACACAGACCCCTGCCCGCCCTACTCCCGGCTTCCTGCCACACACTTTCCCCACCCCCTACCCCCAATTGCGATCCCTCCTCTCCCCTTCCCCCCTTTGGCGCCCAGCACCCCTGAGAGGATCAGGACATGAAGATGCAGAGGCTGCTCTTCTGGCTCCTCCTGCTCGGGTGTCTCAGTCACTCAAACAGCAAGATGTTTTCACTTAAAACAGCCTTTCCTGTCATTACAAGTACTTCATAGACACACTTTTTAATGACTTTAAACTACTCTGTTACACAGATAGAGCGTAACTCACTGGACCTTGTATTCCCTTAATGTCGGGCATTTGGGATTCCAAATTTTCACTAAATGCTGCATAAAACACCCCTTTGGGTAAAAGGCTGCATCAGCTATGGTGACCTGCACGTTCAGCTGCATGATAAAATTCACTGTTGAGGAACTGTGGCTCCTTCCCACATACTTCATGAGTTTACCATGGAAGACATAGAGTTCCCATCCGTCCTTGCCCGTATTTATTTTGCCTGACACTTGCCACCTGGGGCTTGATGATTCTAAAATTCTGCAGAAGCTCACTGTTGGAGCTGCCATCCTTGGAGTTTTGGTGCTTGTCATTTATCTCTGGACAACTGTCCTTGTGATAAAACTTCGAGGATATCAAGTTAATTTATACCAGGTAACTGTGAAGATCAGTAATGTTGCAAAAGAAAATACAGAACTTGAGAAAAAATACCTGCTTGGGAGCAGAAGATCAGCGAATCAGCAGAAGATCAAAGAAATGTCTTCAAGAAACTAAGAGGGAAAATAGGATTCTGTCTGATGCAGCCCTTATGTTTAAGCATGATACCAACGGAGTTGAAGAGACCAATGGGATTTTGAGTGACATCCTTAGTACTTGGCTGTCTCAGAGAGGTCAGAAGTCAAGATTCAGGAGTTGGTTTAAATCGCCCTTGATGAAGCCTGTGTCAGTAAACCAAAAGTGAACTCGGAAGACCAGCATGTGCTGAAGGAAGGCATTGAGTTTCACCTTTGGAAGGAACTGACATGAGGTGAGAATGCTGAATGCTGAAAAATGTAACCTGGAAGAACATAAAAGAGACCCTAAACAAAGTTGTCATGTACTGAGGTCTGCAAAAGCTGCAAGGGGAGTAGAATTCAAACACCTGAAGAAGATCATAGACCTGTGTAATGAAAAGTATGCAGAAAAGAAAATGGCTGCAGATGAGAAGCCGAAGAAGCAGCACAATGAAAGCTTAAGAAGCACAAATCACCTTTTAGCTACAGAGGCGAAGTTGAAATCAGCAGAAAGAGGTAGAAAAGTGCAGGCGAGAAACTGAGCAATCTAAAAACCATACCCTGCAGCAGACCACACCTTTCAAAACCCAGGTTACCTGCCAAGGAAAAAGGGTTCAAGACAACTGGACCAAGACTCAGATTTTGAGCAGGTTGGAGATTCAGCAGACCAGGGGTGCATGCACTTGAAACTCAGCCTGGAAAAGCAGAAGCTGCCTGAGGGATACAAGAGGCAGACACCAATGCCTGGCAGACCTGAGAAACAGAACCCTGGGCATAGAGGTTCAGGATGCGGTGCAGCTCCCAGGAGGAACTGTGGCTCCTTCCCGAATAAGGGTGCCTCTGAGGGCCAAGTCCATATGGATGCAGGAAGACCTCATTTCCCAAGACAAGACCCAATGCCTGGCAGACCTGAGAAACAGAACCCTGGGCATAGAGGTTCAGGATGCGGTGCAGCTCCCAGGAGGAACTGTGGCTCCTTCCCGAATAAGGGTGCCTCTGAGGGCCAAGTCCATATGGATGCAGGAAGACCTCATTTCCCAAGACCACCCTGCATGCCCTACCTGATGGGCTGCCGTCCATCACCATTCGTCACCTATGGACCACCTCCACCTGCTCCTCCACCACTCAGACTATCAGTTTAAAATTTGGAGAGGACCCTGAGCTGTGACCAGTAGGCTGTGGCAATGATACATTTAGAAAAATGTCATAACTACATTATGGTCTGAATGTTTCCCCTGCCAACCCTGGCCCCTCCTCTCTCTCCGCCCCTAGTGTGACCCTTAATAAACCATTCCCAGTTCTATAAAAAAAATATATATGTAGGACCAGTTTGTTCTTTTGCCTGTTTCTGTCTATAATAGCATTCTCCTCATTCTTCTAGTCTTTACCTGAGCTCCACCTTCTTTTAAGAATCCTTGCTGAGCTTCTAAAGTTGAGGAAGTCTCCAAATGGATTAGGCCCAGGACACTGGGATCTCCCAGTCAATTTATTGCTTCTGAGGTCTTTTTTTTTTCAAAGACAGGGAAATTTATTTTGTATCTAAGAATAAATGGACGCTAAAGAATTAAAGTGTCATTTTTTTCAGGAAAACAGATACTCATTTTTGTCAAACACTGATAATGATTTGGACCCAGTAACTAATTTTCATATGATTCCATGAGCCTTTTCTTCAAAGTATGCTATCTGGGCTTCACCTAGAGAACATCTGACTACATCTACTTCTCCACCTCCGTTCTTCTCCTGCTGAAAGTGAATGTTAAGTAAATCCTCTACAATCTCTTCATCCATCATCTGAAGGTCTTCCATTCCAGTCAGAAGCACTGTCCTCTCAGATATTCCTGAAAATACCTGAAAATTTCTCAAGTGCGTTTCTATATATGGAGAAACAGTGACTCTATGGCAGTGTTGATTTATATAAAGAGGATAGTCTTTCCTTTTCAAAATCTTGTCAGCAATGAAGCTCAGTTCTAGCTTGTCTCTCATCTGATTTTCAGGCAATTCATCAGGAATTTCAGTAACATTGATCTTCATTTTAGACACGTCTACGGGAACCTGGAATCTGACTCCAGAGTTTAATGGAACGGGGTTGGCCATCACCTCTACCTCTAAGTCCTCTATCTGCACATGATGTTTCCCCATCCTGATCACATTTTGGGCAACTTATTCTTTTTCAAATGTGATAAGCACTTGTCCTCTTTGTAGCTCATAAAAAACTTGGGAGCGCACTTGAAATAAACAAGAGGTGTTAAAAAACTGGCTGTCCTCAGGATTCTCTAAGGATGTGAATTTCATCTGTGTTTCGGGAATATCCACTTTAATCTGGAAGTTTCTGGCGGCCTCTTCTAATCAGCTTCAAGCTTCTGGATTTCCTCCTTTAGTATTTCCTTTACAATTTCATGAATTAATCTCTTTTTGTTCATCTTTCAAAAATTTTTCATCTCCATGCTCGTTAAGAACTTGTTTTTTGTTACCTTCATCAGCTGCCATGATTCCCTTGATAGACCAAGGTGGACTGCCCTAGACAGAGTTCTCAAGGCCCACTGAGTTGAGGAGGTTTTCACTGGCCAAATCATTCCAAGTTTCGATTTCCGAAATGAAACAGCGCGCTTTAGAGACTGGTCAGGGGACCGGGCTGCGCGGAGAGGCCGTCGCGGGCCCAGGGGCGGGGTGCCTCCTCGGTGGCTGACAGCGTCGTCGTCGGAGCGCCCGGGACCGCGGGCGCCGCAGGGTCGCGGTGGGAGCGGACGGGACGGGAGGGGACGGGAGGGGGCTGCCGCTGCGCGCTCTCAGCCCCGCGCGCGCCGCTCCTCGCGGTCCCCGGCCCCGCGGCCCCGCCTCCCGTCCCATCCCGAGCCTCGCTCTCAGGGGCGACCAGCCGCAGGGATGGCAGCCAGGGATGGCAGCCCGGAGATGGCGCGCCGCACTCACCCGCCTGGGCCGGCCCCGCTTCTGAGATCTTTTGTGGGACAGAGGGGAGCATAGTAAAATGTGAGCAAATTCAGGGGGATGAGAAAATGTATTGGTGTATTTAGGAAATAGTGAGTAACCCTTGTATCTACATACCCATCTATCTCAGTAAGGTGAAAGATTTTGAAAATTAGGCATGAGGATTTATTAGAAACCATCACAGGCTGCTCTGGGCATTGAACGTGTGGCCTGTGGGTTTCAGAGCAGTTGGCAGCAGTGCCAGAGTTCCGTGGGCTGGGGCCCCTCTTCAAGTCCTCGCCTGAGCCCGTGGCCCTCACCGAGTCAGAGACAGAGTATGTCATCCGCTGCACCAAACACACCTTCACTGACCACATGGTGTTCCAGGTGAGCTTGTGGGGCTGAGGTCCTGCTGGGGATCGGGCCCAGGGATGGTCCCGGTCTGACGGTCCTGTAGCATCATGGCACCCCCTCACTGAATAGGTTAGGAGCCCAGCTTGATGGCAGGATCTGTCACCAGCTGTTGTGTCTCTTGCACCCTTGACACTCTGGTGTCGTGAGTGTTGGCACAGAGACAGGAAGCCTGGGTGAAAGGACTGGGATGGCCCAGGTGGTGAGAATTAGGACCACCTCGAGCAGTGTCTGACCTCCTCTCTGGTCCAGTTTGACTGCACGAACACGCTCAACGACCAGACCTTGGAGAATGTCACTGTGCAGATGGAACCAACTGAGGCCTATGAGGTGCTCTGCTACGTGCCTGCCCGGAGCCTACCCTATAACCAGCCTGGGACCTGCTACACGTTGGTGGCACTGTCAAGGGAAGACCCCACAGCTGGTGAGCCCCTCTCCAGAAACCACCCTGGTCACATGGGAGCCCCTGGGTCAGGATGGGGTGGGCAGCTTGTACCCTGGCTGTTTGTCCCCTATTAAAGCTTCACCTCCTTGATATCAGACCTGAGAAGAACAGCTGGGTCCTGGGTACTGTTCGTACGTTATCTCATTTCGTCCTTGTGGAGGACCCATGGGGATAAGTACTGCTCTCCCTGTTCCTAGATGAGGCCGACTTGGGTTAAATGACCTGTCCAATGGGGTATGTGGTGGGGACTTGATAATGGGGGGAATCTGTAACCACAGTGTTGCTCATGTGATTTTATATTAATGACACCAAAAAAAAATGATCTGTCCAAGTTCCTATGGCCGGGAAGAGGCAGAACCAGGTCTGGCTGGACTCCAAACCAGTACTTTTCCTTTATACCATGAAAATACAGAGATGGGCACAAAGGCAGGCCCCAACCCACTCCTCCCAAGGAAACCACCATCTTTTTCCAGGCCTGGGGCAGTGGGCCTGTGACCGTCATGGCGTAGCCATCCTGCAGCATCTCTGCTTCCTCTTCTTCCCCAGGAGGGGGCTCCTCTGACCCATGACCACCCACCTTCCACAAGGAGGCACCCCCTGTCCAGATCCATCGGTTGGATAGCATGTCCCTGCTGCTAGCGCTCAGGGGCCTGGAGAGCAGGCTGTGGCCATCCCCCCTATGGCTGGGGACGTCCTGACCACCGGCCTTTCTCCCCACAGTGGCCTGCACGTTCAGCTGCATGATGAAGTTCACTGTCAAGGACTGCGACCCCACCACTGGGGAGACCGACGACGAAGGCTATGAGGATGAATACGTGGTGAGAAGCTAGTGTTGGGAGGAGGCTCACATTTGTGCCTGAGGTGGCCTCCAGGGGCTAACAGTCAGACGTGGCCTGTTTTCTTGCCGCTTTTAGTTTCAAAGCTCCCTTTGAAAGAAATTTTCTTTAGACTTAAAAAAATACATGCTTGTGTGTAAAAAGAAAACATGGGAAGTACAAAAACAAAGTATAAACATACAGAAAAACATTGCACATAGTCCTTACGTGGGAACTAGGCTACATCTCACTGTTTTCACTTAAAACAGCCTTTCCCGTCATTATAAGTACTTCATAGACACTTTAATGACTTTAAACTACTCTGTTACATAGATAGAGCGTAACCCACGGGACCTTGTATTCCCTTAATTTTGGGCATTTGGGATTCCAAATTTTCACTAAATGCTGCATAAAACACCCCTTTGGGTAAAAATTTTTATCTGCATGTCAAGTTTCTTGCTTAGGATAGATTCCTAGCAGTAGAACAATTAGGCCAAAAGATAGGAATGATTGTAAGACTTTGATTCATATTGTCAGATTGCTTTCTAGAGAAACAAGGTCAGTTTGCATCTGCTTGTAGTCCTGCCCTGCTCTGAAGTAGCCCTTCCAGTTGCACCTCTCTGAGCCTGGATGGAACTGCACGAGTGTGGTTCTGGGCTGTGATCATGGGCCACAGGCTCAGTGCCATCTGAGTGCAATGCTACACTTGGCCTAGGGTGGAGATGGTTAGAGCTCCTCATGGTTGGGACAGCCACTGTGGAATACAGCGGACACTCTCCAGCAGTGACCCCCAAGACCAAGTGAGCTCCTTGGGAGAGCTGGGCCTAACACATTGCTTCTGCTGTTGGAACTGAGTCCTACTTAGGTACACCTTCAATATCCACAAGAGTAGGGAGGGGCTTAGTGAGGATCTGCTGGTGAATGAACAGGAAACCTTTGTGGACACTTAGTCCAAGGTGAGGGGAAGTATTGTGAGTCAAGTTCACGGAAGACATGGCTGACTTAGAGGTGGGGGTCCAGTATAAGGCAGGCTTATAGAGGACACAGCTGAGGCAGGGGGAGGATCTGACAAAGCCATAGGAGGCAGAGCTCCGTGAGTGCTCCCACAGTCCCTGGACCCTGAGGTGCTGACTAGGCAGGCTCACAGGGGATGTGATCTTGCAGCTGACACCATGAGGTGGGTGCTTGGATTGGGGCGTTTTCCGTTGAAGGGTACCACTTGGCTGTGAGCACCTTGAGGACAGGTACATGGTCAATTTGCTGTGTGTCCCCAGAGCCTAGCAAGTACCTGCTGAATGTGTTGCAGGAAGGGATGAGCAGTGAGTTCAGAGCAGAGACACAGAGGTGTGCAGAGCAGGGAGTCTTCCCCCAGAGGGCTGTGCCTGATGTCCCCCTCTACCTTCCCAGCTGGAAGATCTGGAAGTCACTGTAGCAGATCATATCCAAAAGGTCATAAAGCTGAATTTCGAAGCAGCCTGGGGTGAGGTTGGGGATGAGTTTGAGAAGGAAGAAACATTCACCTTGTCCACCATCAAGACACTGGAAGGTAAGATCCTCGGCTCCTGCTGAAGTGCTGTCCTCCTCTCTCCCCTCCATCTCCTGCGCCCCAAGGATCAGGGCCATGTCTAGAGAACTTACTTCAGATGCCACTTCATTAAAAGCCCCTCAGAGCCAGGTTAGGGGTTGGAGGAATGGTGGTGCCAAACAGGGCTTAACAGTACTGGGACTTCTTCCTACAGAGGCTGTGGGCAATATCGTGAAATTCTTGGGAATGCATCCTTGTGAGAGGTCAGACAAAGTACCGGATAACAAGAACACCCACACATTGCTCCTGGCTGGTAAGCAGCATTTCTGGGTGTGAAGGGCCTGGGTGCCCCTACCTCCTGGGCCGAGGGCTGCACTGGGAACACAGGATTCAAAATTCATTGTTGCAAATTCACAAGGTTAAGAGACCTGCCGTGAAATGCCTCCCTCCCACCCCTTGCTGCCAGTCATCCTGCTCCTTGCCAACAGGCAGCCAGTGTTACTGTTATGAACACACAGTGCCAGGATGGGCTTCCAGTGATTTTATGGCTATAAAAACTAGTATGTACACAGTTCCCTTTTTTTTTTTTTTATCATTTATCTACAATTACATGAAGAACATTATGTTTACTAGGCTGCCCCCTTCACCAAGTACCCCCCACAAACCCCATTACAGTCACTGTCCATTAGTGTAGTAAGATGATGTAGAATCACTACTTGTTGTCTCTGTGTTGTACAGCCCTCCCTGTGCCCCCACCACACACACATTATACATGCTAATCGTAATGCCCCCTTTCTTTCTCCCCGCCCTTATCCCTCCCTTCCCACCCATCCTC